CGTACAAGAATCTTACGAAATCTGATGAAATCTTACTATAAGATCTTACATCAAGAATCAGTTTCTATGTTTCTTACAGAATGTTACAAATTCTCATACGAATCTTACGAAATCAGACGGAATCGTACAAGAATCTTATAAGATCTTATAGTAAGATTCTTTGACCTGGGAAAGCACAAAAAATTCTGAATTTATTATCAACAAACATTTGAAGAATCTTTGCAGAAAAAACACAAGATCGTCGGCTAGTGTTCTACTTGAAGAGTTTTGCGTTCTATTATGTCGATAATATAATACGTAATAGTGGGACAAAAGTACAATGAACAGCTGAACACAAAAAAATATTTGTCTATAGCTGCAACTAGATAAATGTTCCCTCTGACTTAGGTTAAACTAGCTCCGAAGCTTTTTTGCTTGGGCGAAAAGGAAAGTGGTGGAAAAAGCAACGTTGATGCATATATAATTGATCAAATTTTAAATTCCAAAAGCATACTTATCAAGCATACTTCAGTTGACACTTCCATCTACACTTTGTCGTGTAGGAGATGTCATAACTGCTGATTAGCGTTTTTAATGATTTCAAATTTTCGTCAAGTCGCCTCTGAAAGGTAGATTTTATTCTGCCACTCGATCATCAAGTCAGAGATACGTTTAGCAGCTCTAGGAATAAATCAATTTAGTTTTTAACTCTTCAGATATGAATAAAAGAAAGAAAGATTATAGTCTTCGTTTCTTATGAAGATAAAATGAGAAGCACCTCGTGCAATCTAGCGAGGAGACTCTCCTCGCTAGATCTGCGGCAGAAAAACATGATAAAAGAAATAATACGTTCAATGTGATAGTGCTTTATGGAAGAAAAACCATATAAAAATAGTTAGGCAATTTTCAATACTCTGTAAGCTTTACACATCTTACCAGTTGTAACAACATTACAACCGGTGTTTTCTTCTACTACAGCGTGTTCTCTTTATTGATATATGGTAGTGTTAATTATGATTAGTTGATATAAGTTGGACGCTTGATAAGAAACAGAAATGTTCGAAAAAATAAAAATTCATCATGTTACGATGAGCATATTTACTACGGGTAGCATTTGTCGATTTTATGTAAACATATTGTAAATGTCTTTCACCGCGGATGGATATTCTCTTGCATTGTTTTCTTAAAAATAATGCTTACCGTTTACGACTTAGTAAAGGATTTCAGTTAACTGCACACGTTTCCATTAACACTTAAAATAGTTATTTATTGAGAAAATGCACATGAATGGATATCACAGAAAACGCGCAAATCATAAGATGCGTATGTTCTGGAGAAGGTGCAGCTTTGAAGATTCTATACATTTATTAGCCAGCCGGAGAAAATACATTTTATAAAAGTATATAGCATCCTGTAAAACAACCTCAGGAAAAACGTAGCATCTTCCTATTGAAGTTCCTTCTCCAATATGGCGCTGATACTACGGTAAAAGTTCAGCACTAATTATTCTGCAAACATTATTACACTTTTACCGCAGTTTTCTCTTCTGCTAACTCGATGATATATTTCTTCTTTATTGCTCGAAAATCAAGGTTTCCAGATACACTTCAGAAAAGATTATCTTGAAAGATAGTTTATACTACTATTCTGTAAGGCAGGTGAAAGAACGAAATCAGCAGCAGCTTTTTAGGACCTTTTCTTTTCACCCTCAATTCATTAAATCGCTCGTGCTGCTTAGTACCCAGGCAAAAACGACCCAATTTTTTGAGTTATTTATCTAGATAAATAACCCAAAAAACTGGGTCGTTTTTGCCTGGGTACTAAAGAAGACGCAGAGAAGCTAATCTCATTTGTTAACATTACTGAATTTTCTTCTCCTTATTGCAAGAGTGTTTTGGACTATTTTTTGGAAAAATGTGGATCGATCAAAGAATTTGATTAATGTGGGTAAGATAAGCTAGGAGCAAATCGCCACACTCATCGCGAAAAACCTCGAGAATGACGTTGCTTGCACTGATTTGCTCCCAGCGTTTGCTGCTATCACTAGCTTATCTCAACTGTCAATTTGCATTAAAATTTGTCTGCTTTGCTTCTTAAATCGTTATGCTAGTCCTGTTTTAATTTATACCTTGGACATGATGAGAATATGTTTTAATCTCGTTCATTGATGTGAGAATAGCAAATCCAAAAAGTACAAGCCACAAAAGTGGATCGGGGATCCATAAACATGTTATCACAGTAAAAAAGAGAACAAACATTTGACTGTTACAGATTCGACTGCTATCCCATACTATTACAAGGGAAAAAATGAAAAAAAGAAGCAAAAAGAAAAAACGATCGAGAGGTGTTTATTGGAGAAGTCGTGTAAAAAAATGATGAGAATATCTTACATCAAGACATCTGCTTCTTTCTCCTAAATATCAGTGATTGAGACAGTTGACTATTTTCTTTTGGTTTTGTATGTTAGAAAAATGTCTTATATTCAATTTATTCTAATTTCTATTTTTATCAGTTTTTGCTGCGCTTACCTAGAAGAAAGCGCACTGACGAAACTACAAAGTCTGGGTATGTTTGAGTTTTTCAGGACACCTTTTCTAGTTATCTTAAACAATCTTCTAATAATTTCCAAAATGCCTGGTATCTACCGTTTGTAGATCATTGGAATACATTTCGATTTGCGTTAAGTTCAAATCTTGACGAGTGTTTTTACCTTAACGTTAAAGAAAATGATACTGTTCATGTCATCTATCAAGTATTGAAAGGTTTGTATGATTGTTGTTTCATATTCTTCTAATTTTTAATTTTTATATTATTTAGGTGGTAATAATAAAATTAATTTTAGAATATACGATTCAAACTTGGCTGTTGTTTATACTCAGCTTGATAGTACATTCGGATGGTACGATAAAGAAACTGTGGAAACGGCAGGTATTTAAAAAGATTTGATACGAATATATGACCTTTCAAAAGAAAAGTCAAAGTATCTGAAGTTATTTTCAGCTGAAGGCTGTACAAAGCATTCTTTAAAGTGCATCACGGAAAGACACGAATTTTTAGATAAGCGAGTGTCATTCGTACCCATGCTTCTATTGCTTTGCTGTATAGTTAATTTACATTGAAGAGAGTCAGAAAATATGCTACCGTGTTACACTAGTCTATGAAAACTTGCACGTAAAATAACGTCTTTAAAAAGACATTAAGCGAAAACTATTTTACTACATTTTCCTTTTTTTCTTCTAGGCACTTGTCGCATATGTCTAAACAACGATCAGTATTTCAAAACTAAAACAGTCTATCTGGCCGTATTAGCAATAAGAAACGATTTATTACCGTTAGCCGTCGTAAGTCCGTCAGATGAAAAAAATGACACAGGTATTGATGAATTTACCACAAAAGCAATGGTAAGTACTAATGGGTCGTCTCTGTTTTCTTTAGAATACTATTATGACCTGTGAATATATCAGCCTATTACTGCTGATCAGGGACACCAGTACCTCTGATTATGGCAGCACAAATTCTGCTTTTAAGATTTCTTTCTGTCTCGTTTCTACTTTCCTGATTTTAAAATACTTCTTTTAAATTGAACTAAAATTTGACTTATAACACATGCATCGACAGGACAACACGTTAAGATGACCAAACGCCCTGTTTAACTATTTTTTATTTGATACAACCAACTCGTTTTTCTTAGCAACAAAAGGGTTTAATCTCATCTCACATTTTTTCTGCGGGTTTTATTTCCTTCTATTTCTCACCCTTACTTCGACATGTGATTGACTTTTGAACTCGAAACAAAAGTGAAGATGAAGAATGTCGTTTACACGTTGGCTGTGAGTTTTAGTGGGGCGAATCCATCTGAAATGTCCCACATTTTACAAAAGTTTTTCCACTTTATTTAAAACCAATCTAGTTTTATAGAGCACATCAAATTACGTAAGAAACTGTGTTTTCTGACTTCATAGCTGATGCAGAACCCGAGAAAGATGACTTTTACTCTCCCAGCAAAATTATCGGATTCGGCGCCGCTCTCAGTGCAAATTGATCAGCACCACGATGAATTGTACAACATGTTCTCCATTTTTTCGACAAACTGCTTAAGGTTATTATTATAGAGTGGGACATGAACTATATTCTCTAAAACTTTGAAGAACGTGCCGTGTACGGTTCACGAGATATTGAGCTTTTTCACTTCTCATGACCACCGTATAAAACTGTTATGTTAGAAAGAAAGAGCAATGATCGGTTAGCTACTAACATGGTTGCCAGATGTCGGACAGTCCCACATTTAAAGATTTGTCCCCGCAAAAATCTGTCCCGCAGGATGTCCCTCTTTTCAAGGTTATTTTCTAGTATTTTCTAGTTTGACCGTCTTCAATGGACTTTTCACTTTTGTATTACACTTCCAATTCAACAGACCTTTAGCG